GGTATTGTTGAACAACATCACTCCTAACGTATGTGAGAGATCAATACGGAGGGTTTAAAGGCGGGATTAGAGATAACGAAACCTTGGTGCGATCGTAGTGAGAAGTGAATTAATGTCAGCTAGTGTAGTTCGAGAGAATACATCTAGTAAATAGTGGTAGTTGCTCGAGAGAGAATTACGACAACCAAAGTACTCACAATCAGTAGAGAATACATTGGCGAAATTGTAGGAAACATAGATGGAAGGATTCCGACAATTGGGGAAATCATAACTCTAGACCTCCTTAATCTTTTCTCCAACCTGTAGTATCTTTAGTGTTAATTATTATTTTAATTTGTTAGTTAGTTAGTTAAACACAAGAATCTTAATATCTATAAGTTAGGAATTGTTCAAGCTTGTACTCTTGGTGATAGTGAACAACTATAGCTAAGCCTTAGTTCTCTGTGGGATTCGACTCCGAACTTTTAGACCGGATTATATTTGCAGCGACCACTTATCCTTTTTAGGACTAGAGTTGGGCGTGATCAGCTGTTCCTTTTCATTATTTATGACCTCAGATTCATCAATGAAATCTAGCAGTAACTCAGATAGACTTTCTTTAGACAAAAATTTAATCTTGTCTTTGAGATGAATCACACTTACCTCTGATTCCTCATCAGATTCTCCAATGGCCATAAGTGCTTGTTCATCTCCATCTTCATCTTCTGAATCCTCATCTGAGCTCTCTTCCCAAGCAGCAACCATAGCCTTTGTTGATCTTTTGTTCTTCTTGTGATGAACCTGTTCCTTCTTCCTGTTTCTTAGTTCAGCCCTTTCCTTCTTCCATTCAATTTCCCATTGAGGACATGTTTTGATGATGTGGTCAGTCGTACCACATTTGTAGCATCCCTCGTTGGTCTGTTTTTCAGGGACCCTTGGTTTGTTGCTGGTTGCACCTCTTGAAGAACTGTTTCCTCTTATTAGATACTTCTTGAAATCCCTCGTGATCATAGCCATTTCATCTTCATCAAGATCTGCACCTTCAGCGATTCCGAGAGCCAGGCTCCTTTGCTTCTTGGGTGTATCCATCTTCATGGATTGCCTTCTAAGTTCATAGGCAGTGAGATTTCCAATTAGCTCATCCAACTTGAGAGTGACAATATTCTTTGATTCCTGAATAGCAGTGATTTTGCTTTCCCAAGTAACTGGCAAAACCCTTGTCAAAATTTTCTCAACTTTGTCTTCTTCAAGGATAATCCTTCCAAGAGACTTAAGTTCATTTGTTAGTGTTGTGAACCTTGTATACATCTCTTGGATGGTTTCTCCTTCCTTCATGGCGAAATTCTCATATTGAGAGTACAACAGTGATCCTCTTGATCTCTTCACTTGAGGAGTTCCTTCATGAGCCACTTGCAAAGTGTCCCAAATTTCCTTAGCAGTAGTACAATTTTGAATTCTGCTGTACTCGTCTGGACCAAGTCCACACACAAGTCATTTCTTGGCCTTAGCATTCTTTTCCCACTTCTTCAAGTCCTCCGCATTGCAGTCAGCTCTAGTTTTTGGCACATCTACTTCTTCAGCATTCTTTTTCATGGTAGCCAGGGGACTATCAGTAACAATGTCCCATAGTTCATAATCCTCTCCAATGATGTGATCTCTCATCCTGTTTTTCCACCAGGAGTAGTACTGGCCATTAAGAGTGGAGGCCTAGCAGTGGATTGTCCTTCCCAGTTTCCAGGTGGTGCACTCATCTTGATCTGTTCCTAAGGTGTTAGCCTCTTCAAGGATAACCTGCTCTGATACCATCTGATATTTTATACTTCAATACCACACAAGAGGGGGGGGGGGGTATGTGTGGTGACCAATTTTTCGCTTAAGCTGTTTATGGAAGGACCTGGTTCTTCTAAGTGTTTCTTAACCTACTATTGCAGAAATAGTAAATGCGGAAAGTAAAGAGCACAAGTATTTTACGTGGAAAACACCTAGCTCAAAAGGTGAAAAAAACCACGACCTACTTTCCAGTAGGATTTTCCCAAACTCTCCACTAAAATCACTAAGCCAAAAACTGCATTTACAAAAACTCTTTTGTAAACCTAGGACTAACTCTAATCCCGTTGTAGCACATAGCCTCAACTGTTGCGACAACATCAAGTTAACTCTAACTTGAAAACTCTGAGTACCTAATACAATTGCTTCTAGATAAAGCTGAAAGGTACAATACAAAACCTCCTACTACAATTGAACTAGAATAAAAGACAGACACTTGGAACTGATTTTTCTATCTGGTTCATGTAGCTTCAGGTTTGCACACTTGAATCACACACGAACTGCTTGCAAAATTGCCTTGCTATTTTGCTCTCAATTCACGTTTAACTTCTGCTTATGTGCGTTACTTGTAAAAGAGAACAACACTGATATTTATAGAGTTAGTAAATAGAGATTGACTAGAATTCTGATGCTACTCTTCCTTGGTGGAAGAGTTCTAGTTGATCTCAACCTCTAACTCCTTCCCTTTCTTAAACCGTGTTCTCTTTGAGTAAGGAGTCCTTCTCCTTATCTAATATGCAATCTTTTCGATCAGGATCAGGAGATATTACTTCTTTCAAGTTAAGTTTATTTTCTTTACGTGCATCTCACATGCTTAAGTTTATCCGTATTTGTGCTCCACTAGGATGGACCTGGTTCAAGTCTGTGTTCCATTGTCAGTCTTCAAAACTAACCTTTACTTGGGCAACAAACTAACCTTTACTTGGGCCAACAAACCTCTCTAACAATTGTGGTTGAAAGCGGTTATGAAACTTACCTTGAATCGTGAAACCCTAGGTTAATGGGGAGACTTTGTTCTTGAGTTCTTGTTGAAAATCTAGTGATTTTGAGATGGAATATTTAGAATTGACGTTTGGAAGAAGTATTCTAACGCTAATCTTGAAAACTCACCTTAGGTAGTTGAGAACCCTTGGATGACTTGAGGATGAGAGGGGAGGTTTAATATTTAAATAAGGAGGCTATTTACTCTCTCCCGTTATTTCAATTTCACGCCTTCGGCGTCACAGTCCACACACAGCACTAACTAAAACGCCCCAAAAATTTTACTTCTGACTTTGGCGTTTTGATTGGCGCCTGGTGCCCAAAACGCGTCCCATTTTTCTGACAGGATAGAATTTTTCTGACAGGATAGTCTTCAGTAAAACGCCTATAATATTTTATAGGAATATCAAAACGACGAACGGTTTAAAGTGTTAAAAACTAGACTTCAAGGGATTTCTTTTGATATATAATTCAAATCTCAATTCATTATATATTAATAGATATGCTTATTAAAACTTAGGTCATGTGCGGCTAAGGTCGTTTCATCCCCTAAACAACTCCAATGGATTCCAATTTACTCCTTTCCTCCTATAACCATCCATTCAACCTTCTAAACATAAGATTTATGTATTTTATGTCTTCATAACTTTTCACACATCTTTGTGTCCAACTTAGAGCTTGAGCGAGAACATAATACTTAGCAAACAAATTTCGGGGCTTTACAATCTATCCTTCCGCCACACCATTAGACCGCTAGTCTTGACCACCATCAAACCATTATTCTTTCATCAGAAATCAAACTGAATCGAAATTTTGATTTCTTGGTCTGTCTTTATAAATGCTACTGTAAGCTGTAACAAAGAGTATGTGAAGAGAACTGTCTATAGAGATTTTTTATCCAATTTTTTCTGCCATAAATCCAGTTTACACAAAAAGCTTGACTTGCTTTTATACGTCTCATCACCGTCTCAGTGAGTTACAAATTCTTACTACATCGCCTTTGATATTGAGAATTTCTATGTCACGAGACTGCTACTCCTTTTTAAGAATTCTAGGATCATCTGACATGAGGAATTTCGCATACAGTGTCTTACCACTTTCCATAGCTTACACGTTCCAGAAAATTGGTTGTCAAATCTTGTCCACATTGCAACAATTTAATGTAGTCCAATTAAGCAATGATATGTCATCTATGTGCTTTAATCGTCTGATATAAATTTCCTCTCAGGCTTATTTGATCTTCTAATATCCTAGTTTCTCTTATAGTCTATCTGGCCATAATTGGAGAATTCTGTTCCAACATCAATCCAATAATGTGAGTCTACTTTGCAAATTAGGTTTAGCATTCCACCCATTGGATGAAATACTGCAGGCAGTGACACATGTAGTAGCTCTTTTCCTGTTGCCTATATAAAAATACTATATCATCTGAAAACATATTCTAAAATGACACCAAAAAATCAAAATCTTCATTTCCGTTTGATTTTTGGTGAAAGAATGATGGTGTAATTATGATCAAGACTAGTGGATGGTAGTGGAAAAATAGGTGCATAGTGAAGTAAGAGGTGATGCCGGTGGTGGTTGGGTAATGGGTGAAGAAGGAGATGGTACTGCATGGAAGGAGAAGAATGGAAGGAGGTAAAATGAGATAGGTGTGATGAGGTGGCATGCTATATGGCATCTGGCTCACCAATATGTCAGGCCACGAGGGATAATTTTGTCATGATTGAGGGTTCTAATGGCAAAGGGGTATTTTTGCACCAGTTTTATGACGTCAAGGCCTATAGTGGACTAGTAGTATAACGGCCAATATAAGTGAACATTTTTGAATAGTCTTCGATGGATATCTTTGACCCTTCTCCGTTATTGTTTTCTCATTGGCCTTGTTCGACCACTCTTTTCGATTGCTCTTTCTCTCTTTTTAGTTCCCGTTGGCCCCTTCTCTCTCTCTCAACCCTCTGCCGCTAGCTCCTATTTAGTTTCAAAACATGTCAATTCATAACAGGGGGAAAAATCACTTCAGCCCGCAGCCAAAATTATTTATATTCGGTAGCCGCAAAAGTGTATAAAATATATATATTATTTGTATATAACATACAGAAATGTATACATTTTTCGCCTCTTATTTTAAGAGCGGTTATACAATACCATTTTCCCATTCATAAAATAGAATCAAACGCACCAAATGAGGGGAAAATTATTATGGATTAATATAAAATGATGAATTTTTCTTTTTTACTCAACAGCTTGTATAAGTCTTTTAGAAGAAAGAAAATAAAGCACCTCTCTTATTTACTTTTCCATTTGAGTTGAGAGGATAGGTGTGGTATTATGATTACCACTTAGGCCCATCCAAATACACATTCAAGAAGGTAAAAGAGCAACACAGAGAAAGGGTATAGAGAAAATGCTAAGAGGCAAGTCCAAAGTGGATATGTAGTGCTGAAAAATGCAAGAAGTCCAACTACAGAGCAAACCACCAAAACTATTAGAATTTCAGCTGAATAATCCCATCTTAGGTCCTTTATACACACCACTGCCAAAAGTGTTGTCATGCCCATGATATTGTTCATGATCACTCCTCCATATATCTGTGAGTAACAATCACACATTTAGAAAAATCAAACCTTTTTTTTTATTTTACTTTAAGAGGGTTATAAAATCGTTCAACACTATTTGTTTCGCGTGTAAAGTGTCACGGGTTCGAGCTGTGGAAACAGCCTCTTGCAGAAATTAAGGCCGCATACAATAGACCCTTGCGGTCCTGCCATTCCCCGGATCCTGCGCATAGCAGGAGCTAAGTGCACCAGACTGCCCTTTTTTTTTTTAAATTACATATTTGGAAACTATACAATAGATCAAATATTTAAATAGATAGAATGTTTGAAAAGATCATTGTGAGAGAGTGAGGAGAGTTAAACCACCTCTGAGAATGTCAAAGATGCAGTTTTTGAACTCTTCTGACTTGCTGGAAATATTGCAGCTATTGCCATTCTTGCATTTAGAGCTAGAGGCACCATAACAAAAGGGATAAGGAAGGAAGGCATTCCCATAGCATCTGATAAATCTTCTATACTAATCACAAGAGGCTTTGCACACAATGTCAGTATTGCAATCCCCAACAAAACTTGAAGCACAGATTTGGTAAATGCCCACGTCAACAACTTATAGTTGATTTCTCCATCCTTTTCCACCTCATAGACTAACTTGTCAACTTCACTCCACTTAATCTACAAAATAAGCCATACAGTACTGACATTAGTCAACTGTGTAATAAGCATTTTCTTTAAATCAATTTTTTTGAGAGAGCAATGCTATTTTACCTTCTCATATTCATCAATGGCCCTTTTCTTGTCAGGGCAATTAGTCACCTTAATGGCCTCATTGAGCCATTTTGTCATCCCATGGACAAATTCGTGTTCGTCGATCATGTTATTACCATCTTTATCAAAATCCCTCAACACTTTCTTAACTGAGTCATCGCGATTGATTTCAACTTCTCCAAACTTGACTGAACCTATTAGCTCTTCCAATTCAGGTTTTGTTATGACTTTGTTCCCATCAAAGTCATACTGATGGAAGATTCTGCCACAATATTGTAACTAAGATGATCAGAAATAGGAAGGTATAAATCTTTTATTGTGGATTTAACTTCTATACGTTGATATTTTTATATGGAATTTTTACACTATCAGTATAATTTAACATTAGATATCTTTTTTTTTTCAGGGGAGACGGGGTGGGGTATTGAATGAAAAAGAGTAACTTACTCTTTAATTGGTTCAATATTGGGGCTTCCATCATCATTGACAAGGTGTTCAGCTTCTAATGCTTGGGTTTGAACATGCTTCAAAATTCTTGCCATTATATGCTCAATCTCAGCAATTTCATCCCTTTGTTTTTTAGTAAATTGCTCAACAACCTGTTGAGGAAATTATGCTTAGTTATCTAATGAGGTCACAGTAAAAATGCTTGATCCACTTTCTGTTCAGGCCTTAGGGAAAATAGACAAAAACTTGGATAATTTTCAGTAAGAATTTACTTGCCTTGTGTAAAATCTTTTTAGAATTTGAATCATTACTTTGAGCTAACTGCTTTGCTTCTTCAATCCATCTTTTGCATCCTTCGACAAACTCATCCTCTTCGATTATTTTGTTGTTGTTTTGATCAAAAGAATTCAATATCTTAGTAATAGCATAATCTTTGTCCACCTTAACTTTCCCTGATTGAATATCAAGTGTTAGATTCTCCAATTCGGCTAGTGTTAGGCATTTGTTGGCATCTTTATCAGTCTCTAGGAATAATCTGAAAAAGAATAATCAGTCTTATTAGCTTCATTGCATTTGAAGGGAGCCTTGGCGTAACTGATAAAGTTACAGCCATGTGACCAAGAGGTCACGGGTTCGAGCCGTGGAAACAACCTCTTGGAAAAATGCAGGGACCCTTGTGGTCCGGCCCTTCACCGGACCCCGCGCAAAGCGGGAGCTTGGTGCACCGGGCGGCCCTTTTTAGTCTTATTAGCTTCATTGCAAAGAGACATCTTTAGTTTTTTTTTTTCTTTCAAGGATCTATCATTACCTTTTGATGACATCAATATCAGGTTGCCCTTCTTCATTAATGAGCTTCCCTCTTGCATGCCTCTGTACATGATGCAGAAATCCTGCTAGCAAATTCTCATATTTGGAATATTCTAAACTTCTTTCTTGCATCCAAGGATCAAAAATCTGGGGAAAACACACAAATTAAGAGTGATACAAGAATCCTGATCAGGCCTTCAACTAGGATATATGCATGAGTATGAAATTCGTTCAATACGACATGTGAACAGAGGTGGATCCAGCATTTTGCAATAGGTGTGACCTAATAACCTCCTAGCCCTATATAAAGGAGGCTATGTAGTAGTTCTAAGATCATCTTGCAATCTTGTAACCTTTGTAAATCTTTGTGATATATTTCATATGAGTTCCTTCTAAATTTTCCGCTTGTTCTTTCTTTCGAATGGATGGAGAGGCCGGTCCATGTATGAAAATAGAGTAAGAATACTCTAAGAAAGTTAGCTTATTGTAGTACGAAAGTTTTCTGAGTTATAAGAGCTAAAGTTGGTTATAGTACAAAAGTTTTTTGAGTTGTGTAGCTTGGCAAGCCGTCCCTTATGGGTTGGTGAAGCCAGCCCCTTTGTAAGGAAACTTTCGTAACTATGATTTAGTTTGCTTTTTTGGAATCTCTTGCTTTTTCTCTATAGTGTGGTATATGTAGTGTCCGGTGAAAAAAATAAACTAGTGTACATAATGACATAACTTCCGATCTAAACCTACTGACTCTAAATCCAGTATCCAACTCTGCATATGAAATATTTTTTCTCAAAAAGATGCGATTGTTTTCAAAGTTTTACAACATATTTTTATATTCTACGCAATTAATGTAAGTATCAACAGATGATAGAATATTAGTAACAATGAGCAGAAAATTTGATTACCTGATAAAGAAAGTATGAGAGCAATAGTATGACTGATACCAAAAGCGTGATGAAAATTAGAATACGCCTTGCAAAGAATGAGTTGAAAGTAGTGACTGGCTGAACTAGTGCTAATGGGATCAAGGAAAGGAGCATGATTCCAGCTGTTTTACTTGTTTTTGGGTCAATTGTAACCCCAGTTTCTGTAAAGTATAAATTTCAGCATAGACTCCAATAAAAATTTCTTACATACGAATTCAGTAACTTATACAACAACAAACTCAGTATAATCCCAATAGGTGGGGTCTGGGGAGGGTAGTCTGTACGCAGACCTTACCCCTATCTAATGTAGGTAGAGAGATTGTTTCCAATACACCCTCGGCTCAGGAAGGGTAAGAAGAAGAGGAAAGCAAGGAAGGAAGAAAGAAGGAAGAGAAAAGAAAAATGGAGAGATAAAAGGATAAGTAGTACCAAATAATAGCAACAGGGACTACAATACCTGAAATGAACCACATAACATAATAACAATCAATTCAGTAACTTAAATTCAAGAAAGAAATACCACTTAGGCCCTTGAAACTTTTGAAAGGTGAAGAAGATTCTGCAGCTGATTTTTCTGTCATGTCTTTAGTGCCAAATATCACACATATTCCCCACATTAGAGTAAGATTGAAGACAGTGGCTCCAACTGTAGTGCTAATTCCTGAAGAAATTTGATTCTGAGCTTTCTCTTTACTTGCTGCAACTCCAGATGCTACAAAGAAAGTACCATTAAAATCAGTCCATTTTGTTCAGGTGTAGCTACAACTCTATGGTATATACCTATGTGTCTTAAGTAGCTAATTGGATCTATATGTTTATTCTGATAGTAAATAAAAGGGCAGCCCGGTGCACTAAGCTCCTGCTATGCGCGTGGTACGGGGAAGGACCGGACCACAAGGGTCTATTGCACACAGCATTATCCTGCATTTCGACAAAAGGTTGTTTCCACGGCTCAAACCCGTGACCTCCTGGTCACATGGCAATAACTTTACTAGTTACGCCAAGGTTCCCCTTCTTATTCTGACAGAAAATAAGATGTCCAAAAATAATAATTGTATTGTAAATTATCTCTATTCATCCATTGCATGCAAATTGAGAAAGCAAGCTAAACTTTGTGCTAAACTTGTTACTATAGAACCTAGAGGCGAATCCAGGATTTGAGCATGACGGGGGCACCACTGTGTACTAATCATTGGTGATAAAATTCGGCTTACTTAATAAATTTATCATCCAAATATAAACAAAAGAAAAGTTCTAAAGAAAAAGAAAATACCGAACAGAGAGAGATGTCTTCGCGAAATGGGTGTTATGGGAAGGGAATAATTGAATTGACTATTATATGTTAGTACCAAACTATAATTGAATTAAGAAAAAGATTAATATAAGAAATAAAGCAATTTGCTATTAAGTATAAATTATGTTGTATTCAAAGAACTAAAATAGAAAGGAGAAGAAAAGGCAAGAACTAAAATAGAAAGGGAGGAGAAAGAACTAAAATGGAAAGGAGACAAAAAAGCAAGAACTAAATTAGAAAGGAGGAGAAAAAGCTGAAAATGGGTATCGCGCGGCCAACGCAGTTAAATTAAAGGGAACAGAAAGGTTGAAAGTTAGATCATAGACAAACCAATGACCATGACAATCCTGGGCAAAGTCTTCAAGATTTGAAAAATAGTGCCACCAAAAATGCCAGGGCCAAGAATATTAAAGAGAATCTTGCTTCCTCTTGAGACCAGTTTTTCTCCTGTAATCAGCAAGTACTGGTAGACTACTATCAAGAAAATGTAGCCTCCTATACTGTTTGCACATGGAAAAATACCATACAACTGGTTACATGTTTTGCCTGAAGAAAGCAAGTGTTGTCCATATTCTTGATTGTTAAGTCGATGATCAATTCCATCTGAGATCAATTGGTTGGAAGAATTTAGCCTTAGAAGTCTGCCTTGGACCTTTCCAAGTAGAAAAATAATTGTGATAAAGCATAATGAAAGGCTTGACATCAGTACCAAACACAAAGTTATAAATCTACTAGTATATGAGTTCTGAGGATTTAAAAAATGAATTCCAAATTAAGATAAGGGTACTTTTATAAAAGAAGCTTATCAAAAAAAGACAAGGGCACTTTTATTAGTGAAAGTTTGCACAAAAGATTAGGGTACTTTATATTATTGAGAGTTCAGTTCTGAAATAACCCCACATCAGTAAGCTAAAAGGATGGAATAGTCATCTATCCATGCACAACATGAAATAAGGCTACTTATTAATTAAGAAAGAATTTTCTCTTGTTTTTAGTTCAGGAAATAGGTTCTTTAATCCTTCTTTAACAAGATTGGCATTTATTTGAAGCTGTCATCTATATGATTGAGTATCTTATTCTGATATATTTGATAAAAACATGTGCCAATATATATGGCTCTTCGCTTATAGAATCCTATTCTTCAACAGTTGGAATTCAAACACCATAAAATGTAGTTGAAGCTCGTGACAAAATAATTTTGCGTTGGATTCGATATACATCGGTATTTCTGATATCAGTAGAATGATATTAGGATGCCAACATCATAAGATTAACATCATCAGCATTTAGGAACTCAAAATATCTAGGGAATAACTTAACTACTATTAAAGTGATCTAGATAATTTACTAGACGTCCCTTTGTCATCTCTTCATACAGTTGACTGAATGATCATTATCTTCTTGTCGAGCTCTGGAAAATATCATTATCATATCTATATCTATCTATACTATATTAAAAGCATGAAATACCTTAGCAAAATGCACAGGCGGATCTAGGATTTTAGGTTTATGGGTTCCTACAAAAATTTCGAGTTGATATACAATACTAACTGAATGAACGAACTGGGTTCCAAGCTAAATATTCTTATACATTTAATGAATTTTTTACTATAAATACAAGTTCTAGACAAAAGCTACTGGGTTCACGGGAACCCGTAGCTATTTAACTAAATCTGCCACTAGCGAAATGTCGTTCGTCTTTTTTACCCTTTAAAATCATATTTCATAAGATAAAATTGTAATTTAATTATTATTCTTAATATTTAGGAGTTTGAAATCAACTAAAACTTTGATTATTATGTTTTTCCTTATTTGCATTACATAGAAAGTCTAAATATTTAGGACGTAAAATCGATAATGTTATATAAATCCTATCTTATTTGAAGTTAAGTAGCATAACTATAATATATTCCATGTTAACATTTCGAAATCAATGAGATTATTATTTATTAAATCCTTCGTCATTTGACATATCTATATATTATATTATATTATATATATATATATATATATATATATATATACACACACTATGTTAAAAGCACGAAGGCTCTTAGCGAAATGTCGTTCGCCTTTTTTACCCTTTTAAAATAGAGTTCACATCGGACAAAATAGTCATTCCATTATTTTTCAATATTTAGGACTTCAACATTAGCTAAATATTTATCATTAATTCATTCCTTATTTAAACTAAGTAGGAAGCCTCAATTTATTAGGGCATCATATTCTGATATATTTTTACTTAATTTGAGTAACATTCTACACGTGCATTCTTCTTAATTTTATGCAGTTGTTATATAATTTTAAAAACGAAAAAAAATAAAATTAGAGAATTTTTTCCATCATGAAACTCCACGACAAAGAGTTGTGTAATTTCGTGTCCTTTGCTTTGTATTTTAATCAAGAACAATTTTGCCTCTTAATTTATTGTCCTTCCCAATGAAACTATTTGTTGGTCTTAAAATTTAATTTAATATATTAAAAGCACGAAGGCCCTTAGAGAAATATTTGTCACGGTTCGGATTTTCCACCCTCGGGAGTCGTGATGGCGCCTACTCGTGAAAGTTAGGCAAGCCGAGTATTATAAATTCATTACCCTTTTTATTAAGCATGTTCAACAATTCAAAGTAATAAGTGATTAAACAGCGGAACAAATTAAATAACCAAAAATGCGGAAGACGGAAACTTAATAGTTTAACCAAACATTGCTACATAATCTGACGTACAATACTACCCAGAATTTGGTGTCACAATTTCACAAACTGTCTAAGAGTAGTACAAATAAAGGTCCGAAAAATAAATACAAGATGTTTTAGAAATACATAAAAGAAACAGTAGAGAAAGATAGAAGGAGACGCCAAGGCCTGCGGACGCCTGCAGGACTACCTCGGGTCGCCTAAATGGACTGGAGACAGCACCCTCACTGCGGTCCAAACGCTCCGGTATCAGTATCTGCACACAGTGCAGAGTGTAGTATCAGCACAACCGACCCCATGTGCTGGTAAGTGCCTAGCCTAACCTCGCCAAAGTAGTAACGAGGCTAGGACCAGACTACCAAATAAACCTGTGCAGTTAAATCATATACAGCGGAAAAATAAAAGCAGATATTCACAGTTAAAGATGGGGGGGGGGGGGGACGGGGACATGCTACGGGGAGTATCAGATAACAACAAAATACTAAAGAGGAATGTAAAGAAACCATAATTTAGTTGCCAACAAGAATAAGAGAAACACAGTATTCTAACAAGGATAAGAGAAACAAACACAGTATTCACTTTCATCTCTTTCTTGTTGCGGGCGTGCAACCCGATCCCATTTCATATATCTTGTTGCAGGCGTGCAACCCGATCCCATTTCATATATCTTGTTGCAGGCATGCAACCCGATCCCATTTCATATATCCCGTTGCAGGCGTGCAACCCGCTCCCATTTCATATATCTCGTTGCAGGCATGCAACCCGCTCCCATTTTGTATGTTACCGTTGCAGGTATGCAACCCGTTCCCATTTCATGTATCAACACCAATCATAGAAGAATCTCGGCAAGGGAACAATAATACAACAACAACATCCCGGCAAGGGAACAATAATATAACAACAACATCCCAGCAAGGGAACAATAATATATTGACAACATCCCGACAAGGGAACAAGAGTATAACAATGACATCCCGCCAAGGGAGACAATATCATAAACAATCACATCCCGGCAAGGGAACCAACAATGATAATCATCATATTAGACATGGATAAATCACAACGGAGTCACAACAATTACAATACTAGATTTTAGGATGAAAATTGATGAAATGCAATGGGAAATCGAAAGAAAAAGGTTTAGAATCATATACCAATGCTTTGGGGAAGAACTTGTTCTTTGAAAATCGCCTCAATGCTCCCAAATTTTGAAACTATGAAGTAAATGGGTTCTGCCCGTTTTTGGCTACTGTTTTAAAAATGACTGGGCAGGCCTTCATCGCGTTCGCGATGGGCCTGTCGCGTTCGCGATGGGTCAGGCCCAGCTGACCATCGCATTCGCGTTCAATGGCTCGCGTTCGCGGAGCTTCAGCTCCTAGAGCCTTCGCGTTCGCGGTTAGATGGCCGCGTTCACGTAGAACAAATGTGGAATCCCTCCCCCATGCCACTAACCTTACGCATTCGCGAGTGCCTGAACGCGTTCGCGAAGGGTAGTCCCCCTCCCCCCACAGCTTCGCGTTCGTGTCCTAAGCTCCGCGTTCGCGAAGAATAAACTAGCACCTGAGGAAGTTTGCCATACGCGTTCGCGAGGGGAACCACGCGAATGCGAAGAACAAAACCTCTGTGCACCTGAGACAGCAAAACCTGCAACTTTTCTAAGTTTAAAAACATCCCAAAACCCATCCTAAACTAACCTGAGCCCTCGGGGCTCCAAACCGAACATGCATACTAACCCAAAGACATCATATGGACTTATTTGTGCTATCAAATCGCCAAATTAACACCTTTAACAACGAATTTAGCATCAAAATCAAAGAAAAATCTCAAGAACACTTAAGTTTCAAATTTCACAACCGAGGGTCCGATTCACGTCATTTCAAGTCCGTTTCTTACCAAATTTTACAGGCTCAATCTAAACGCCATATAAGACCTGTACCGGGCTCCAGAACCAAGATACGGGCTCGATGCCGTCAATTTCAAAAATATTCAAATTTCCAAAAACTCATATATATTCCAGAAAATAATTTTTTTTAAAAATTCATTTCTCGGGCTTGGGACCTCGGAATTCGATTTCGGGCATACACCCAAGTCCCATATTTTCCTACGGACCCTCCGGGATCGTCGAATCACAGGTCCGGATCCTTTTACCCAAAATATTGACCGAAGTCAACTCAAATTCATTTTAAAAGCAAAATTTACCATTTTTCACAGATTTTCACATAATGGATTTGCGGATACACGCCCGGACTGCGCACGCAAATCGAGGTGAGACAAATAAGAGGTTTTTAGGCCTCGAAACATAGAATTTATTTCTAAAACAAGTGATGACCTTTCGAGTCATCACAATGTCATTCGTCTTTTTTACCTTTTTAGAATATAGTTCACATTAGACAAAAGTCATTTGATTATTTTCCTAGCTAATATTTAGGGGTTTGAAATTAAATCAAATTTTATTTATTTAACCTTTCCTTATTTGAATTAAGTCAGAAGTCCTTATATTTCGGACTTTAAAATTATTAAACTTTTGTCACGACCCAAAATCTAACCTTGGTCGTGATGGCGCCTATCGTGTTACAAGGCAAGCCTATTCCCAAAATATTACTACTAATTTGATTATAAGACTTTAATAAAACATTTTCAATAATTTAATTCCTGATAACCTAAACCAACTCTAAATATAAATAATATAAATTACGGAAACGAGTCCCAGACATCGGGGTGTCACTAGGTCATAAGCGTCTAAAACTATGAACTGAGATATATAAACTGTCTAACTGTCCAAAGAAGAAATGATAAAAGGAGTAACAAGGTCATGCGGACGCTGGCAGCTACCTTGCAGTCTCCAATTAAAGCCGGCCTGAACTCAACAAACTCACCTGGATCTGCACATAAAGTGCAGGGTGTAGTATGAGTACAACCACCTCAGTAGTAACAGAAATAACTAAGGAACTGAGCAGTAGTGACGAGCTGAGCAAAACAGTCCAATTATTATTTTTCACAATTTTAAAAAAATAACAGGAATAAACAGGTAAATTCCATAACTCAGTAAATGCAACAAAGAAATTTAACAGATAAATGCAGCAACAACAAAAGTAAATGCAACCTCACAACAATGTCACTCCATCACTCAACACTCGCACTCAGCACTCAACACTCAACACTCAATACACTCAACACTCTGCGCTCACTGGGGGTGTGTACAGACTCCGGAGGGGCTCCCAAAGCCC